AGGTTCTTGTCTTCATACGCCATCATATGCCAAGTTTCTGTCAAGTGGATCCAACGACCTCTAGGTCGATTTACATATATAACTCTTTCAACACCTGCCATCGGGCCGTCGGGGTGTTTCATAGGCCATGGCAGTCCTGATCGAAACCAACTTGGGCGACCTTGTCATCGACTTGAAGGTGTCAACCAGCTGGCCCGGCTCGGGTCTGCCGGAATCCGTTTGTGGGGACGGGGCCTGGGGAGCGTGGGCTTTTGGCCGTTTTTGGACCCTTTTTCACTCCACCTTGGTCATCGTGGACGTGGTGGACGTGGTTGGTGGATGGGCGGATTGAAGCAGATTCTTATATTACATATAGAGGTATTTTGTTGTTCTAAGTGATCGAGGTCCAGGTGGCACGGCCAGAATGGACCGTAGGGTTCTAGCAACCTCGAGATAGAATAGAACAGTCATTCCCTTAAATCATGTATGAGATGCATAAGATATCGCGTTGCAAGGATTTTGGCAGGTGGATCATGCTCCTCGTGCCTGTCTCAACTTCATTAAGTGGATGGCTCAGATCGCATCGGCTTGAACCTGGTGTGTGCCCAGGATCATATAACTGCAGGGCCGAATACTCCCAGCTGCAGCACGTTTTGACATTTGGTGTTGACTCGAACCTCAACCTTTTAACCAGCTTTTCTTGGCATCACCAGCAGAGAATTGGAAGCTTTATGGGTCATTCAAAGCTTTTGCCCTTCCCTTCGAAGAAAACCCTCCAGCGGTCGGCTGCCTGATGCCATTGAGGTTGTGCAAGATGAAGTACTACAACAATTGCCTCTTCCTTTCGGTGCTACACTTTTGTTTATTTCCGTTTTTGCATCAACGTTTTATCCAATGTTGTCTTTCTTTCTGCTTGACACACCAGCCCTTTGGGATGATACATCGGTGCGATGTTTGTACTGGCTCCGTCCCGTCGTGTCCGCGACCGGTCTGCCAGGTGGAGAAGGACTACATCGCCCGAACTGGCGACCCCACCAATACCGGGCGAGGTGGGTCCTCGAGCCGAGTCGAGTCGAGCCGAGTCGAGTCGAGGAGGCAAAAGATCCGGGAAAGCCATGAGATTCTGAAGAGGATGTGACCATGTCCACTCGCCATGGTTTGTGGGATGCGGATTTTTATCCACACCCATATGAGATGGGAACTGCAAAAACACATGGTGCCATGCCCCCCCCACCTGAATTGTGATCCTCACAAGCAACTTCTAAGGCAGTTCACGTTCTGTGCCGGCGACCGGTCCGCACCTGTGCTTTTTGGTTTGGTCATGCTGACAGTGCGACGAGTCTGCCAGGCGGATGCTGTGTTCATGCCAAGCTGCCTGGTCTGGGACATCGATATTTCAAGGATTGTGGTGGAGAGTGGAGAGTTGTTCTTGTTGTTCTGATGGTGTGGCGAGAGACTTACCTTTCTCAGCGTTGGAAGAAGAAGAAGAAGAAGAAGAAGAAGGAGAAGGAGAAGATGAAGATGAATATGCAGACGTAGAAAACGCAGTTGAGACTTAGAGACGTAGTAGACATAGAAGACGTAGTAGTAGAAGTAGTAGTAGTAGTAGCAGTAGTAGTAGCAGTAGTAGTAGAAGTAGTCGTAGTCGTAGTCGTAGTCGTAGTGGTAGTAGTAGTAGTAGTGGTAGTGGTAGTAGTGGTAGTAGTGGTGCTGGTGGTGGTGCTAGTGGTGGTAGTGGCGGTAGTGGTGGTAGTGGTGGTAGTAGTGGTAGTAGTGGTAGTAGTGGTAGTAGTCGTGGTAGTAGTGGTGGTGATGGTGGTGGTGGTAGTAGTAGTAGTAGTAGTAGTTGTAGTTATAGTTGTAGTAGTAGATGTTGTTCCTGGTTCGGGCGTTGCCAGGGTATCAGTGATGCGATGTAGTTGCTTGTCTTTTTGTGCGGTGCGTGGAAGACAGCCCCTGCGGCCAGCATCAGCACAGAATGGTCAGAGCTCAACAATGTAGACTGTTGAATACTAGAACTCCCCAACCAGAATGGTCTGACTTCTCTTCATAGGTCTACATTACATTATGATTCCGAAATAGGGACTTGAGATGCACGGACATGTACCACGACACATCGGCTGGTTGGAGTGAGCGCATGAATGGCATGCATGGATTTTTCTTCATCAGCCGTGTTCCTTGGATTCGCGAGAATGTTGTCCGTGTGCTAGTGTCATCTTGCGCAACAGTACGTATACTTGGTTGGTGTTATTTTCTTTTTTGATCCCTCTTTGCTTTCTCTCTCTCTCTCTCTCTCTCCGTGTTTGGAGTGACCTTTGCGGACTTTGCATTGAAGCCATCCAGCTGTAAAGCATAGTTCTAGGCCTAGGCCATAAAAAGCGTTACTGAACATGACTGGTTGGTGTGAACTCTTGGGGGGGGCGAGGTATCGCTTTTGCGTTGTTTTTTTTCTCGCTTATGCGCCGCCATTTTTCTCGCTTGTGCGTCGGGCTTACAGTGATGCGTTGGTTGTCAATGGCAATCCTCAGATCACGGAGACATCCGTGGACACAGAGAACTGTGTGTATCGGTTGCGCGCAGATGTCAGATGTGATGCTATAGCCATCGATGCGTAAGTGAGCTTCAAATCGATGTGTAAGTGAGGCGTAAGTGAGAGTCGATGCGCAAGTGAACAAATTGTTGATGTGTAAGTGAGCGCTCCGGGGGGCTGTGCAAAGCCAACAACCCATTGTTGGCGCCTTCGCTTCCCCAAAGCTCTTCACTCATCCGATTCTGATGACAGCCTCACTGAGCCGAAGAAAACCGCCAAGTGCTGCTGGTCGACTTGAAACACTGAAGTTGGCTAAACGCGGGACCGGGAACAAAAATGACCTAGAAGTATCCACAAAGCCTCTCCAGGCTGTGCCACAAAAGTGAAAAACAGTGCTGGAGGTGAGGGTCCCCTTCAAAAAACACAAAAACATAGCGCATGCTGGTACTCTTACCTCCCCAGAACGTTGATAGTTCAACCCTGTCTCAAATCTGTTCTAGAAATAGCACTCCTGCTTCATGATAGACATGCTTAGCGGGTTCCGTGAAGGTGAAAGCCGATCTCAGCCCACGACTCCAGTCTGAATACGCAAGTTGACACGAAAAAAAGTATCGGCCTGCCTTTGAAGGCGCTACCAGCTTCCTCTTTGCTGATAGTGCCTTTTCCTTTTCATGCTTCGTCAATGGAAGAGCAGAGACACACCTTTTTCATCTGCAAAGATCAAGTATCGTACTCAATACGCAGGATCGTGAATTGGGTAGGGTGGACACACAAATCCCAGAATCTTCTGGAACGAAGATAACAAAGCTTTGAGTTCCTTAAAACGTGCTTAGATTGTGCAGACAGTCCCCGGATTGGCTGGGTTGTTCCAAAATCCAACAAAAACATGGTTTTCCAGATTTGTTGTTGTTCTTTTTGGATCAACTGCGGCACAAGCTAGCAACCGCTCCAGGATGAGATCCATCCCAAGCTCAAGCACAGTGTTTGGCCCTTGGTTCGGTCCTGTTGGTGGATGCTATTGGATGGAGAACCACAGGTGGTGTTTCCACCTGAAGAGCGAGGCACCTTCTGACAGAACACCAGTGTTTGGTGTGAAACGTTTCATTGATTCTACTTTAGAAGCTTGGGGTCCTTCTTTACTCGCAGGAGTACTTTGGACAGTCCTTTTTTGTGGGTTCAAGTTGAACAGAGTCAACGCGTTGATGTGAAGCGAGTCAACAGGGCTTGTCTCTGAGCTGAGCACACCAACCATGCAGGCCGCAAGTCCGACCTGCTGGGGACGTGACTCGAGTGGCCCGCGTCACGCATCGCTCTCAGGTGCGTGGTACTGTGGGGATGGCCAACGCCGAAACCTCAGAGGGGCACCGAAACACTGACGGCCACTGGACGGCCACTTTTCCATTCTTGACATGGGAAGAGCGATGCCAATCCACCGGTGAAAGTGCAAAAGAGCATCAGCCCGAAGCTGGGAGACTGCCCAGGAGAAGCCCAACGAGAATGGCTCACAATTCTACGTGGGGGATCCCACTTCTGGTGCCTTTTGCCTTGGGCTGGTGTGGGTGCATGGGGCTGGTGCGAAGGAAGAACGTCCAAACCATCCATGGATCCAACTGGAAGAGATTCAAGGCCATGCAGCTGCTGAAACACAGCAGAGAGGGTTGCAGCTGCCGTTGCTCATTGACTTGGTGGCACCGAGAGACTAGAATAGAAGCTAATATAAGCAGGCTATATCATTTAGAAGCATATACTGTATTTGAAGTGAAAACGCTAGGGTGGGTGCCCTGCCGATTGGGCAACCAGGTTTCTAATGCATCAAGGTCCTGGGTCGGGTTCTTGTCCTTGTGACCAGATCACGCTGCGGAAGACGGTGGAGCCGCTGGATGAGAAGCACACCATTTTCGGGCGCGGGGCGCATATGGCAGCGCATACCGTGCGGTCCCAGTCTTTCTTATCATGGCGGAGGGAAACCTTAATAGCAATGGCTTCCACCCTAGTAGCGATGGGCCTCCACCCTAGTAGCGATGGGCCTTCACCCTAGTAGTGATGGCCTCCACCCTAGTAGTGATGGCCTCCAACCTATTTTTTCGGAGCGGTTACGGTTATAGGGCTGGAACCAGCGAACCCTCCTTCTTGGAGCAAGCAAGATATCACTTTCTGAGCCAGATCAGCGAAGGGGCCGCGGCTTTGCCTTGCCAGTCAGGGCACAAAGACAACACGTCGTACATGCTCCAGTCGGCATGCTGCACCTCCCACTCTATTCAAGGGGTGGACCTCGAACATCACAAAGAAGTCTCCCTGAAAAATATCTTTGGATACTTTTGTTCGCTTGGGACGGTGTCCATTAGGGAATGCCATGGTGGATGAACGAAGAACGCTCCAACTGCTGTGCATATACATGATATGAAACTCCTTGGGCCACGGATGGGGAAGCACCTTCCTTTTGCAGGCGAGTGGCAGAGGGGTCTGGCCCTGAGAGGAGTTTTGCTGAAGGATCAAAACCAAGCTTGCATTTAATAGGTCAAATATGGTCAGATCCACCCTTTGCAACCCGAAGTTGCCCAGCGGAGCGATCGGGACCCCTTTCTTTGGGATTGCCGGTGGTCGTGGGACCCCCGACTGCTCGGGACCCAGCTTTTCGACTCACCACTGAAAACGCCGCAAGCGACCAAGCCTCGGTGGAACCAGCAGATCGCGACCGATTTGGCTCGAAGAGGGCAGGATCTCCCCACGAATCCGGTGGGAGGAGCCAAGGCAGAGAATCGACACCGCCTCTGTGTTTTGTGAGCCATGTGGCTCACGAGAATGTAACAACTGCAACGCAGCAGTGCAGAGGCCAGTGGCGTGCATGAGCCCACTGATAGATGCGGGTGTGTATATTGCAGTAAGAACCCCTCATGAAAGGACACTTCAAACCCAGTCGTTGAGGGGGTCTCCAAACATGCCCACAAAACAGATTGAGTCTTGCGAGAAACTGGGGTTTTAGAGGAGTCTCGAGAGCCTAGAGATAGCCAGTAGATCCCAACGGAGGTCACTAAGACATCCCCAGAGCCAAGACTTTTGGATTGTGAATCCTGCATTCATGCGCGTAACAACCATGGGCAGTCTGAGACAGGCGACACGGCTTTGGAAAGCCGAACAACAGCGAAACCATGGAACTATATACTAGCTTCTTGTGTTACTAGTAGCGATGCACCTTTCTGCAGAAGCTGATGGGTGAAACACACGAATCCGCGAAAGAGTTCGCTCCGCGTGATCCCTTCAACGATTTGTTGAGGCCTGCAGGAACACGCCGTGCGGTCTCCATTGAGGCGGACGCATGTGGAGTGTCAACTTGATCCTGATAGCACCTTGCGCCTCGCGCGTCCGGTCGTGTCGCTACCATTGCCATCCGGTTGTTTTCACGTTTTGCTTTAGAAGGCAAACTTGCACACATGGTGGTGTGCGTCTTAAAAAGAAAGGCATATTATTTGCTCATGATTCAACCACGAGTTCTGCTCCAGCCTTTTAATTGCGATTTGTTACTGTCGATCGAGCTGTTAATTGTTGTCATTGACATTGCACATGGAGATAGGGCGCAGGAAGATGGACACATATGCGGTTCGCCTAGGTTTCAGAGCGTATTTTCAACATTTGCATGGCATTTACAGTGTTTTTGCTAGTGTGTGTGTGTGTGTGCGCTCTCCCAGGCACACACCGCTCTCTAACTTTTTGTTGCTGCGTCACAGTGGTCACGCTCTGGTTGCGGGATGTTGCAGTCCTTCTCGTTCGATGACCAATCTGCGACCTGAGGCAGTGGTGGTGCTTCCGTCACTGTGGCTGTTGGCCTCGGTCTTTCAGAACCTTTGGATTCCCCTGGTGGTCCTGGCTGCAGGTAGGGGAGGGGAAGGGGTTCTGGGATGGAACTGGCTTTGGACAGGAGAGTCAGGTGGAACATCATAGGATGTAGGGGGATGTAGGGAGTATGTTATAGTTCAATATTAAAGTATTAAAGTTACGTAGTTACTTTATTCATTGGTTATTATATATATAATTTGAGGGAGACAAGGGCAGTTCTGTAGGGGCGTGTGGGAGGTACTTAGGTACTGTAGAGGTTCTATGCATTCTGCTTGGTAGCTTACAGATTCCCAAGAACCTCCATGAACCCCCTTCTTGGGATGAGACTCACCCATCCTCAGCCTTCCTCTTGTACGTCCTGGGCAAATTGCTGGAGGGCTTGCAATTCAATTTCCAGCTCTTTGGCTCCTTGGAAGCACTGTGTTTTAAGCCCCAACCTAGTAGCTTCTTGTTACGTTCGTAGCGATGGCCTCCAACCTACTTGCCATGGCCTCCACCTAATAGCATCCTCCATCGCAGATTTCATTGAACCCATGAACGTGCTGGACACCAGTGATTGGCACCTCCCCCAGCCGCGGGCCAGTCCCCCCAGATGGCCCTGTGGCGAGCCAAGTCGGGTGGTCCTCAGGTGCCAACACCACCTCGTCCTTGACGATGACCATTGACGCCGCGGAGCTGGAGGTGCTCAAGGTGCGCCGAGTTCGCAGTTCGCCCACAGCGTCGCAACAGCTGCCCCAGCTGTTCAAGAAGCATGAAGCTCAAAATGCCAAACAGCTTTTACACAAGTGTGACACTGCTGCGTTCTCCAGATCAAACTCCAGGCGTTCTCTTTTTGCCTGAGAAAACGCCTGAATGGTACCTTGTAGGTCAAAAGCTTATGCCCAAAGTCAATGAATTCTCCAGCGCGTTTCAAGGGACGGACGAAGCTTTAGGGAAGTGTTTTTGCTGTAGTGGGTTTCAAAAGGCAGAAGCAGGTGTACCTTGTTCGTGGTTTCCTTTGGCAGAACCTGAGTCCCCATTATATACCTTGACCGCTTTGTTCACCGTCGTCACTTGACGGATTCGCTCCTCGTGTTGGGTCAAGCGAGGTGGAGTTTCGAGAGCTGAAGGAGCAGTTGTTTGGGGAGGTGGAAATCTCCGAGGGGAGGCCGGTTCGAAAGCACGGCCAAACACCGCGATGCACTGGTTTCCAGAGTCCAGAGTCCAGATGGTGTCCAGATGGTTTTGACCAGTGCCAAACAAGTGGCCCCAGGTTTTGGAATATTTTAGCCATTGAAGCTTTTCAGCTGTATTTCGACTAGGTGCCCATGTCACCAATACCTCTCAAGAGAGGTTTCGAAGAAACCAATTAAGAGTCACGAAATCTTGCAGTTGGCCTGGTGCTTGATCCTGAGTCGCGTATGGTCAAAAGAGCAATCACCTGGGCTCCGTCCCAAGTGCCGGGTCTGTTTTTCAGCGGTGGTGCGGGCCGGGTGGCGAACGCGGACCGCTGTGGAAGGTTGAGAGCGAACGCTCTGGAGATAAGCAGAGGGTATTAGGGCAAAGGTTGAAATTTTGGGCAGATTTCTTGAGGAAAAGTATCCAACAGTAGAAGATACCTACAGGCAAGTACACATCCATCAGAAGAGTTTTCTAGAGAGAAGTATCCAAAAGCGGTATCTACTGTAGAGAAAAGCATCGCAAGAAGGTCCCACGATCAGATCATCGTTCACCTCACAAGGCACACCTTTTCATCCAACAAATGAGATTGGTTTGATACATACTGAGACTCAGATAGACTTAGCCTCTTGGGCAAAACAAGCGCTTTCTTGGACCATGAGTCTCTGAGCCTCTTGCCATCTCTTGCCTACATTTTCCGGTCTTGGGGGAAATACCCGTCCACCAGGTGGCGCCGCTTTTTCCCGCACGTCGAACCGGTCACGACGCGGTTTCCACGGCCGGCCGCGCGGTCACCGTTGGGTTTGGAGGCTTGGGAAGTCCTTGGCCATGCTGCGGAACTTGAGCCGCCTCGATGCCAAGGTGCAAGAGATGAGGCCGGGACGCGTCCCTCCGCGGCGTGTGGTGTTGGTCAAGGTTGGCCTCAAACTCGCTGGCTTGGTCGGTGAGGAGGCAACAAAGGACCGGTTTCTGCCAACGGGCTCCAGCCGCTCGCCCCATCGGCACTTGATCCACTTAGTTCGTTGCAGAATTCGGTACGTACCCGGTACGCCCAGAACTCGGCAGAGGCAGAGTGACGTGAAGACTTCTGTGAAGACTTTCAGTGCAACCCCCGTGCGTAGCTCAACGTGTCAACCGGGCAGTGAGTAGATCTCACAGCAGACTTGTGATATGTCCGAACCACTGGCGTCGACCAATGGATTGGACCATCCGATTCCTCATGCACTTCGCCAATCCGAGGCGAACTAAACTTTCTCCAGAGTCCACCCAGGTGGAAAAGTGAGAACATCGATGTCACACGAATGCTTTGAGGTCACGAAAGGTAGCCCCCAGGTTTGGACGGGTCCTGCTTGTTGAAGCGATGGGATGAGATGGCGGGCTGCGGAACAAATACATGTATTTTTTTGCCTTTGTGTGTCATCTCTGGCTCAAGCCTTTTGTGCGGAGTATGCCAACCAAAGACATGGGGCCTACAAAGCACGAATGTGCGCGGGAGGTGGATGAGAATTTCACCATCATCAAGTCACTTGGTGAGGGGAAGTATGCACAAGTGAAGGACGGGTGTATGAAATGAGCTGCGTTCGGCAGCTGCATTCGAAGACGTTTTCGTCTGTGGAAGACGTGTCCCTTTGGCATCTCCGCGCCCGAGTCGTGTGTCCTTTTTGGTGACTCAAAGTGGGCCGGGCGTTTTGTGGGTCGGCAGCTCTCCGTTTCGATGGACGTTCGTGTGACGTGTGGCGGTGGGTGGTGCCCGTCTGCCCGTCTGACAGGAGGTTCAGGAGAAGGGCCTTTCCGGTCGGCGCTTTGCGTGGAAGCAAATTCGGACGAAGAGTTCGCGTGGAAACGAGGAGGTGCGCCTTCTTCAGAGGCTACAGCACCAGAACATCGTCCACATCCATGATGCACCTTGTATTCATGCAGAAAAGCCATGAGAAACCTGTCTTACTACCTTTCATGGATGCAATCCTCTGCCTGAACGCCCATGATTTGCCATTGGGTAGATGTCAATTGCTGCAGGATTGCGTCTATGAACTGTACCTTTTCACCTTGACCCCTGACAAAACAAGGCTTGAGGGTTTTGAAGGTTCTTTTCAGTGAAGCATGGTCGTTGCCCATCCACTTCGCGACCTTGGACCAATACATTGAAGTTATGAGTCGTCGTCGGGACAGTGTGATCGAGTTCGTTGCACCAGACTGTGTTGTTATAAAACCGCTCCCTGGGTGAATTGGTCCAGACCCTCTGGTTTTCAGGCGACCTCGTGGGATTTCTCTTTTGGACAGGGTGGTTCTCTTTGAAGACCGACACCAGATTTCTAGATTGGATGAAGAGCCTTTGAAGCCCACTTAGTAGGGTAGATGCGCAATGGACGTCTGTGGAACAGACTCTACAAGTTTGTCTGGGGACATATATAACACCGCAGTGTGAGCAAAAGATGCTCCATGTTTAACGATTGGACACATAACATTTTTTTTTATCTTTTTCCCTTCCTCAAGAACCATGAAAGGGTTGATGATTTCCAAGACCCCGAAGGACCATGTTACCTTGTTTTACCATGTGTTTCAGCAGCTCACGACATGGATACGGCTACGGCAAGAATAACTTAGACTTAGACTTGCTGCCGGCAGTGGCGGTTGAGGTCCGGCGGGGAACACTGCGAGGAGGAGGCGGAGGACGAGGAGGAGGAGGAGGACGGCAGCTGACATAGAATCTAACAACCCTCACCTGACAGGTAGGGACTAAAATGAGGCAATTGTTTGTACAAATAAACGGCAACCGTTTGCAAATGTAGGCGTGTTAGCCGCGGCTGTGGACAGAGAAGAGTTGATGTCTAAGCAAGGAGCTTCGTTGCTTCGAAGAGCTTCACCTGCGGTGGCAATGTATCGCACGATCGTCACATACACGGGCATGTTGCGTTTTTCTTGTTCGGAGATGTGTATCCGATGGGGCGTGCAGTTTTAACGGGGGAGTGCATCTTACAATTTCATGAGTGGGCTGGTGGTTTTTACCGTGGAGTGGAGTTTGTAAATCATGGGGGTGTAACTCATACAAGGGGTCACAGGTGGAGATTGGGCTGTGCTAGCCAACTGCTTTTCAGTGCACTTGTGCATTGCGTGGGGTTGCTAACCGGCGCTTTTTGTTCACGGTGGCTTGTTCACTTCCACCCATGGCGCGGAGGCCCCGGCTTCGCCTTTACATGATTTCGCTTCCCTCCTGGTCTTTATTGGCTTTCGTTTCCCCCTTCTGAGGCGAGGCTTATGACAACGTTGAAAGCACATGTTGCCCAACCGATGAAGATGTTGTACAGTCGCACCTTGTGAAACCAAAAACAAGTCGTGCAACCGAACAAAACTCTACTCTACTGAGGCTCCCCCACCCCACCCACCCCATTGGATCACAACTCTTGATGAAGGCGATGATAATGTTGTGACATCGATGGCAACCTGGTCCGGTGGCATCTTCAAAATTTGATGACAGCAATTGAAAGGATTGGGCATACCGCGAAAACAAACACAATCCTCATACTGTATATGTAACCAGGATGCAACGATGCAAAAAACATGAAACACACATCGTCGGCAACCTTAGTTTGAACACAAATACAGTTTGTGTGGGAAACCCATTCAACATGCCTGTGAAACCACGTTTTTGTGGGGATTCTAAACATGTTTCAGGTCTGGCAGGCTTGGGTGAACATGCATTCATTACTGCCATAGGTTTGAACCAACGAATGTTTTGGCTCAAGTGCCTTGGCCAAAATAGCGTTTGTTCTCTCTTTTTGAGGGCGGAACCCTTGGAGAGACAGTTTCTTTTTTTTTGTGCAGGGAGGGACCCTGTTTTCCCATGAGCGAATTGGGAACCAGCCTTGCGGCCCACACCAGGTACCAGGTGATCCATGCCGCCGCGTCTTCAGGAGATGCTGGGTGAGGGGCGTGAGCGGGACGCATTGCGCCTCTGGGCCTCTGTGGTGGAGCTGGTGCACTTGGGGTCTCCAGGGCAGCCCCTCTCCATCGCAGGGCTCCCCCCGGTTCGTCGGTTCGTATGCACTAACATCCCTTGTGCGAGGTGCACCGACCGTCGGGGCGGCTTCCAGTTCCCATGGGTTGGCGTGTGGAACCGCCGCTGCTTGCTGGTTCAAGAGGGACTTGGGCCAGCTGTCGCGTGGCAGCGATACCATGCCTCTGCGGCGCGCTTGGACCGCCTGGCGCTGCAGTGGATCGCCTCGGACCTTGGCCCGTTGGACATTTTGGGAAGGAACAACTAGTTGTGTATGGAACATGCAGTCGTGTTTGTGTGGTCCTTGACATTTTGGCTCAAGGACCACACCCTTCCACTTTTCTTGCACCGACAAGTCATTGGTGGTGGAAGGGGTGCATGAGTCTGGCACCCACCGGCCGGTGGGGAGCCTCGCAACGGCCGCGGTGGGTTCCAGCCATTTGGTTGAACTGCTCGTGGCCTTGATCGTGGTGATCATCACCACGTGCTGGTGCTGCATTCGAAGAGCGTGCAGGTCGTGCGGAACCAGACGACTGAGCATCCAGCTGCCTTCAGGGTTCGAAGTTAGCATCAGAGGAACCGACTGAAGAAGAACGAAAGAAGATGCTTGGCATGCGTGAGGTTTTCACCTTCGCCGGATTGGATGAGACACATCTGGTAGACGACAAAACGGTGGCTGGATCGCTGGCATCTCTCCTAGGAGCCAAGCCAGACACGAAGCCAGCAGCTCTGGGCATTTTGTCGGAGGCAGACTATGACACAGCAGTCAAAGGATGGAAGATCCCTGCTGCTGGTGGTGCCGCGAGGCAGCCGACGTTGACAGAGCTGGGACAGGCCAAACTGATTGGCCACGTATGCAGGATCGTCGCTGGCAACGGTGAAACTATAGAGGACCTCAAAAGGAAGGCATCGGCCATGACATCGGCTTCACCAGGACCAACAAGCCCGAGCACTGCTGCTGCTGGGAGGAAGATAAAGCTCAGCAGTGTGATCTCACAGATCGACGACACAGAGATCTTGTTGGACGAAGAGAAGGAGATCCTGAAGGCCTTTGCAAGATATGAGGTCGTCTACGGAAAGGGCGAACGCCCCCCAAAGGAGAGTGAACCAACTACAGAACAGATAACTGCAGTTCGGCATCTGCTGGACCAGGGCAGCGTGCCGTACGTTGATTTTGCCATCTTCGGCCCCTATGGTATGCGCATCATGAAGAAGGTCAAGCTCTCAGGCGTGATGCTGGGGCGTGATGGATCTGTTAAGAGCCAGGAGTTTCATGGCCCTGCCAATATATCTCACTGGATTGCATCTTACACAGTATTGCAAAATGTCCTAGTGATGCTGGATGCTGTAGACCTTGGAAATCTCCTACGATACAAGTCACTCATCGAACGCTTGCGTGACAAGTATGGTGAGAAGGTTTGGAGTGTCATATACCAAGGTGAAGTGAGATGCAGGTTGGAGCACATGCCCAGGCTCAAGAGGATTGCACAAGCGGAGTATGACCAGACAAAGGCGCCAGGCAACCCCACACCTGTGGGGTATGAACCATTGAGGCCATGGAGCTATGTCTGGGCGAAGGCGGTTGAGGACCTAGAGTTCTGGCGAGAAGAAGTTGTGGAGACCTCCTTCCTGATCCTGACAAGGATCACCAACACTGCAGAGGCAGTTGAAGGAGATGCAAGAACTTCACCGCCGGGACTGCGTCCGAGAGAGACAACACCAGCTCCGTGGAGAATGGGAGCCGGTGCAACCTCGTCCTCTCCAGCCTCACCGGAGCCACCCTCAGCAGGACCTGAGCCGAGGGTCAGAAGGGGCAGTCGAACTGGCAGGTTCAACAATGTGGCAGATGGCAAATACCTCACAAACAGGACGGGCCACAAG